AGACTATCCAGAATTCTGCAGCCTGTGACCTCTACAGCACAAGGCTTTGCAAGCCTATCACCCACATCCTTAGCCATCCTATTCCCAATTGATTTAACTCAAGATCCTAGTTCTCACCTTTAAACTTCTCCATGGTCTCACCCGACCATAACTCACAACTCTGTATCCTCCTTCAACCCACCAAACCAGCCACTCCCTTAGCTCAGCGAACACCAGGCTGCTTCATGTCACTTACACTATATGCCCCCCTCTATCGGAGGATTGGCTTTCAGCCATTCTGCTCCTGTTCTTTGGAACTCCACCTGGAGTCCCTCCAATTTATTTCCTCCCTCACCTTGTTCAAGGTCTATCTCAAGAGGTATGTCTTTGACAACACTTTAGATCATATTTTGCCTCCCCACCCCTCAGTGTCAAACACTTTGGAATATCCTTCCAACATGAAAAGCACTAGATCAATGTAAGATTGTATTTCCTTTACGAGAAGAAATAAAGCACAGGAAAGTCACCGTAGGCTTGTCTGATATTTTGTTGCCATAGAGGCCAATATATTGGGCAATGCCCAAGATGATCTGAAGAACAAATGATATTGAATGGCTTCCATAAAATTAAAAATTGACTCTGATGACCAAGTACTATTCAACTACAGCACTCTGGGCAGTTAAGAATCTAAAGTTTTGTGTACACCACTACAACAGGAGGGCTGACTTTCATAGTAGGATTTTACCCTCTGCGGAAGCAGTGATCTTTATGGCCTAAAATAAATATTCGCACTCTAGTCAGTATAACCAATGTAAACAGTTTTGAAATATTCTACATTAACACTTATATTTCATATTAAGTTATTTTCATAAAGTATATAATTTCACCTGATGTGCAATTGATTGTGCAACTTTCAGAAACAAAATGACATTTGTATAGCGCCTTTCACGTCAGAATGTCCCAACTCACTGGATAATCAGTGTATCGGATCCGAGCTGGGGTCAGGATCGGGGTGGGCAGGAAGGGAAGGAGGGCGACCGAAGGCACAGTCGAAGAGGAGGGTCTTGAGACGGGTCTTGAAGGAAGCGAGGGAGTGGCTGAAGGCCCACCTGCCAATGGTGTGGCGGGCAAGGCAGGGGACTTGGAAGCAGGCCAGAGCCCACTGAATGGAGGGAGCGGGCATGTTGTTCGGGTGTTAGTAGGTCGCAGAGGTAGGGGGAGCAAGGTCACAGAGGGCTTTGAAAACGAGGACCAGGATCTTGAACTGTATCCTCTGTGTGATAGGAAACCAGTGTAGTTGGGCGAGGCTGGGGGTGATAGGGTCGCGGAACCTGGTATGGGAGAAGACACGGGCTGCAGAGATCTAGATGACCTGCAGCCAATGGAGGGAGGAGGTGGGGAGGCCGACAAGCAAGGAGTTTGTGTAGTCGAGCCTGGATGTTATGAATGAGTGTATGAGGGGCTCAGCGGCCTGCGGTTTGAGACAGTTGCGGAGCCAAGCAATGTTGCGGAGGTGGGGAAAGGCGGAGCTGATCATGGCGCAATGGGGTAAGAAAGGCAGTTGAGGATCGAACAGGATGCCGAGGTTCCATTTTGGCTCCGTGAGATGTAGAGTGCATCCATGGAGGGAGATGCTGTCAGCGCCCGAGGTATGGAGGCGCTAACGGGAGCCAAGCAGGAGGGCCACGGTCTTGTTGACATTCAACTCCAGGAAGTTAGCTCTCATCCAGAACTGGATGTCCGACAGGCAGTCTGTCCGACAGCAGTGGTCCTGGAATCGACTGTGGAGGCAGAGAGGTAGAGTTGGGGGCCATCCACATACATGTGGAAGTTGACTGCGGATGATGTCATCAAGGACAGAGCCCTGAGCGACACCACACATGATGGTGTGGGGCTGGAGAAACCATTAGTGATGACAAAATGGAGACGGTGGGAGAGGTAGGATTCAAACCAGGCAAAGGCAAATCCGCAAAGATTGAGCTGAGAGGAGGAGCGGTGTGTAGGAGGAGAGGGGTCGACAGTGTAGAAGGTAGCAGAGATGTCGTGGAAGACAAGCTGGTGGAGAGCCTTGGTCGCAGATGTTCAGAATGTCGTTGGGCTGTTTCCGTGCTATTGGCAGCATGGAAACCCAAGGGGAGGAGTTGAGAGAAGGAATGGCGGGAGAGGAAAGAACAAAGCTGGGACACGGCGACTTGTTCCACGGCCTTGGAGAGAAATGGGGAGGTTGGAGATGTGGTGATGACTGGAAAATAGGGATGAGTCCAGGGGAGGGGTTTTTTTGAGGGTGGGGGTGATGGCACCTATTTTTTTGGGGGGTGGGAACAGTGCCAGTGGATACGGAAAGGTTGATAATGTCGGTTAAGAGGGGCAGGAGGTGAAGCTGGGAAGAGGGTTCGGGCATGGAGTCGAGGTGGGCTTCATTTCTGAAACAATGGAAGTGAGGAAAGAGGGGGAGACAGGGTCAAAGGTGTGTTGGGAGGGAGGTGGCGAGAAAGCTTGATCTCCCCCCACCCGCCCAATTAAACTGTGTTCCATTTGGCAAAGATACATAGATGCAGTGCTATTTTGCCATGGTATTGTACCACTGAATTTCCTCAGCAACAACAATGTGCATTTATTTAGTACCCTTCACCAGGGGTAGCATCTTGGAGCATTTAAAAGAAATAGTAGATAAAACTTCATGGCGATCAATAGGTTGCTCCTTAGGTTGGGGGAGGGGGGAGAGATAATTAGGGCTCCTTAGAGCTGATCTGGATCTAAGGAGCCTCAAAGGTGCCATACTTGGTAACACAATGTCATAATAAAATCAACCCTCTTCGGTGGTCTGCTTCCTGAGATAGTCAGGTCCATAGTGCCTCAGAGCACTGTTCATTACAAACCAGCCAGACTGGCTCATCAGTAGCACTTGGAAGAGCAGACCAGTCACTGAGGATAGGGGCCCTAACAACACAGATGGTATTAAGCCTGGGAGCCAAAGCCCTAACAGGTAGGCTGGTCCTAAAAAAGACAATGAAGAGAAAAGTGAAAGATGACGATAGTATTAAAATCCTACACTTTAAAGTATGTTAAACCGTTAAAAGTTACCAACGCTCTAAAAATCCATCAAATAACCCCTATTGACAAAATTCATTTCAAGTACAGGTACTGCAGGAAGCGCATCTCCTTCGGGGGAGGAAGGAGAAAGAGAAGCAATTGTAAAGTTAATCCATGACAGGTGAAAGAATTGCAGGAAAAAAGTTTGGGGGAACGGAAACAGGTGGTCGTCGTCCCCGGCGAAAAGCACTGCAAAAACGAGCGAACACACACACACACACGATAGGATTCTTTCGACAGTGAACTTTCTATGGAATAAAAGACCACGGCCGCCTGCTGCTCTCGCGAACGAAAACCCTGTTTACTTGCAGCGAAGCGGAAGTCAGAAATCGGTCACTTTTCAGGCAGGAGGAGGAGGAGGAGGAGAAGGGGGTTACGGTGAAGAGGCAGCGAGGCAGAGAATTGCCAGAAATTTAAAAGCTCAATGCCCACTGCACAGTCGCCCAATGCCCACTGCACAGTCGCCCAATGCCCACTGCACAGTCGCCCAATGCCCACTGCACAGTCGCCCAATGCCCACTGCACAGTCGCCCAATGCCCACTGCACAGTCGCCCAATGCCCACTGCACAGTCGCCCACTGTACAGTAGCCCAATACCCACTGCACAGTCGCCCGAAGTTACCCTCCTTCGGGTAGCAGAGTGGCCCCATTCAGGCCAGTGCTTTTGAAACTCTTAAGACAAGGTCTTCAAACAGTGAGTGGAGTGGAAGGAAACGTTTCACACGGGGTTTCATTTCTTTTTCGGGGGGGGGGGGGGGGGGGGTGTGTGTGTGTTTTTTTTAAAAAAAATAAAAAAATCAGGCACCCGTCCGAGGACGGTTTTATCCCCACGCACAGCACAGCACACAGCGCGCGAAAAAAAACACACGCACAGAGGAAAAAAAAAACCAGCCCCAATCTGGCAACGATGGGAGGTGGGGCGGGTTGTATTTATAAACTCCGGACACCGTCACGTGACTGCCCCTCGCTCGCTCGCTCGCGCGTCCCCTCCCCTTCCCCTCCGAGCTCGCGCTGGTGTTCGGGCGGGTGACCAGCCAACCGGCCGTTAGCGCTCGCGCTCTCTCTCTTTCTCTCTCTCTCTCGCGCGCGCGCGCGGCCACCACCACCACCACCGCCGCCGGCTCAAGACGGGGACGGATGGAGGGGGGGGGCGGGGTGTCGGGCTTTTCCCGCTGACAAAAGAGGTCGCCATGGCAGCCAAGGCGGCTCGCGGAGTTCGCCGTCAAACTTCGAATTCGAATCCCAACCGCCACGCCACCAACCGTCACTTTTTTTTTAAAAACAAACTCCTTCCTCCTGTCTCGCGCTCGCTCGCCTCGCTCTCTCTCTCTCCGGGGTGGGTGGTGGTGTGTGGGGTAGAGAAAGCCACCGCCGCTCACTCACACACCGACAGAGTCACAGAAATAAAGTATACATAGACATACGTAGGATACACAAATGTGCGTCTGGATCGCCACAGGGAAAACGACTGATTTTTTTTTGCACACACACACACACACACACTGAGCGCGGGGTTTATATGTATTTTGTTGTTCGGTGCTCGGAAGCTTCGAAATCCTCGAGGAGAGAGTGCGCGTGTGTGTGTGTGTGTGTGAGAGAGAGAAAGAAAGAAAAAGAGAGATCAAGAGAGGAGAGAGGGTGAGAATTAGAGCGGTGTATGTATTGCACCGGACATGTACTCACTGGAATGGCGAGGGCTCTCCGGAGTCAAGACAAAAGAAAATGGAGCCAGGTACCCTCTCTCCGGAGGAGCAACTTCAGGGCCAAATTCGCAGGGAAACACTTATTCGCCGGGTAGGGGTGGGGGGAAGAGTGGCGAAACAAGACGAGATGGCGGACGGAGGGAAGAGGAGGAGGGGGGGGGGGGGGGGTAGTGGTGGTGGAAACTGCGGTGCTGACAGCCGAAAGCGCGCGTTGACCGTCCTTACCTACACAGTGTATGAGTTTGTACCGCCAGGAATCTAGTTCCCGCCGAAAACCTCTTCTTTCTGCCGTACATCTGGGGCTACCGCACTGACTCGCCATTCCGTCCTAGCCCTGGTGCTGTGCGTCTGACGTCAGCGCGCCGCTATTTACATAGCACGTCGCGCCCGCCCGGGGGAGGGGGGGGGGGGCGTCTCTGATTGACGTCTGTCACCAGCTCGCGGGAGGGAGGGGGGGGGGTGGAGCCTCGTGTTGCAAGACCCCAGCGCGGTGTCCGAGTGACAGACAGTGACTTGGGTTTGATTTCCTACCCTCCCTCCTCCCTCCCTCCCAATGGAAGAATGAGGGAGAGCGAGAGGCGGTGCAGAGATGGCGGATCGGGTGCCGGGCTGACAGACAAAAGCGGCTTCAAACAAAAACAAGAGCCGCGCGGGATCTGTGCTTTCAGTTGCAATTTGTTTTTTTTCTTGCACATGGCATCCTCACTCCTAAAGTTGGGAGAGAGAGAGAGAGGGAGAGAGAGAAAGAGAAAAAAAAGAGCTATTTGCCAACGTTGGTAGATGTTGCTTTAAGCTGTGCTCCCTTCCCCTTCCCTCCACCCCACGTACACGTTTAATGTGTTTTGATGGGGTATGTTTAGAAATAAAGAGGCCTTTGTAAAAATTAAAGCTCTACGAGGAGGGGCTGTTTCGATCCGCTTCTGGCAATGAATTGTTTTCATTCCCCTCCTTCCTTTAGATTGGTGGATGCACAATAATTTTAACGCTCTGAACGTAAAATTTCCAGTCAGACTTAAAAATAGACCTTGGGCACCTTCAGCGAGATCATCTGTAGATACATTGCAATAAGTTTTAACGTGAGAAACTGCTAGGTGGAAAAAGTCAACTACTTCAATAATTATAATCGTACAAAAAAGCACCTACGTGCGATGATCTATTACATTTCAGATATTTTAATTTTAAAATGCATCGCTCTGGAAAGATGAGGGTTCATAGTAGAAAAATGTAACTGTCATTTCATGGCAGCCATTCAACCAGCCTCCCTGCAATGTGTACACTCAATATGTATATTTACATAATGAAAATGGATTTTCTGTACCTGTAATATACATATTTGAAATTCTAATATAGACTCTTTAGTGCACTTTGAGATGTCGAAAATGTGTGCTGTATCATAGCATGACTGCTCACATGAACATTTGTTTATACTGACCAATAAATATACAGAAAATAATTTGTGCATCTACATTTCCCAATTTTCAACTGCCCATTAAGACTGCAATATGGTCTCTGGCACAAATCATTATCCTATTGACTGCTGTGATATTTTTAAAACTTCTCCTTGAAGCTCACTAATGCAGATCTACACTCACTTTTCAAAGTATCTTCTCCACCTCAGTTTTTGCATGAGTTCTCTTTTCATTGCATTGTTACGAGATCTCAAACGGCAAAATTATATTGTTCATAATTTTCCCCCCTTCTTATTGAGGATTAAGAACTTTGGAAATAGCACCAAACAATTGGCTACGGCATGCTTCTGAATTAATGCTTTTTTAACACTTTTCATGTTAGCTAATATTAGTGAAAATTTGAGCCTAATATCACTTTGCATTCCATGAAATCATTTTGATTTCGGTGAATGAGATTCATTGGACACCTCCAAGCTGTTGGAATTGTAGATAGCCACATAATATGGAGGGCTCTGTCTTCTCCTTTTTAATATCTGTATGCTCAGCTATGTCATCTGCAGCCATGGGATTAACTACATGTATGCAGATGACACGCAACTTTCTCTCCCTGTCCACCCTTGATTCCAGGACCATTTTTGTTCTTATCAATTGCCTGTCAGACATTAAGTCCTGGATGAGCATTAACTTTCTCCAGGTGAATTTTGATAAATCAGAGGCCCTCCTGCTTGTCTCCTGTCAGCACCTCCACACCTCAGGTCTTGACAATGTTAATCTATGTGGATGCACACTCCAACTAGTGGAGCCAGCAATAATAAATATAATCAAAATGCAAAATACTGCAGATGCTGGAAATCTGAAACAAAAAACAGAAGTCGTTGGGAACGCTCAGCAGGTCAGGCAGCATCTATGGAGAATATACAGTATATTCTGCAAAGAACTTTGAGACGTCTTGAAGATGTGATAATTCGCTATATCAAATTTAAGGATTATTATAAGGATTATTATTAACTGCACAGCCTACTGTTCCCATCTCGAATGGCTCCATTGGCTTCCCATCTCCCAGTGGATCAATTTCAAGATCCCAGCGCCCACCTTTAAATCCTATTACCTTTGCAATCTTTTCAAATCTTGCAAACCCACTCACTCCCTCTGCACACAGGCCTGCTTCATGTCCCCTGCCATATGTCCCAACATGAAAGGCTTTATCTAAATGTAAATTTGTTGTTGTTGATTGGAATTCAAATATGCTTCAGAGAGTAATGTTGAGAGTTTCTTGTGAACAAAACACACTCCATTTATTCAATTAAAAAGATGTTTAGTTTGAATACATAATAGAAACATTCAAATATAACTGCAAGTAGCAGGTGTTAAAATAGGAAACATTTCAGTTGCTGTTGCACACTGGAGTTGCAACTGGTCTTCTTTTGAGTTGGATAGTCCTGTTTTATGGAAAGAATGGCAAATGCAAAACAGACATAAAGACTTTTTTTTAAATACTGTAAATCCCCTTATTTTATGTGAAAGCTGTCTGAGATATTACCTCGGAGGACGGTTGCTAATATAATTGTTGTAATTTAGGTTATTAAGACTTTCTATTCATATTAATGATCAGGAAAACAAACCTGAAATCTCACCTTGTGCCTGAATTTGATCTTGGCAAAAGGTAGTAAACCTAGTGAATACATCTGTGCAACAAATGCTTAATCACAGTGTGCGCCAAATGTTTTTAGTTGAGAGCAGATTTTCTTCCCCCTGGTCCTCAAAAACACTAAATTGCACTTATAACCAAACATACTGCTGAATGTTACATTACCACGCTCTTATTTAATTATTACCGTTTTGCACAAACATATAATGATGATGATAGGAGAAGCCTTGTTGGCAATTTCTACACTTTGAATCATGCAGTCTTTTTACAAAAGTTTCTTCCCTCGGTAGTTCCTCTTCTGCACAAGCCGTTAAGTTCCTGCCTCCAGCATTGCCTGGTTAAATTGCACAATCCTTGTGTACATTTGGTAGCTCACATTTACGAGGCCAACAAAATGGATTATGTAAACAATAATTGACAGTCTGGCTGAGGAAATTTTCACATTCCCTGTTTTGAAGTTAGGAAATACCACTTTGGTACATTTAATTTTTATAACCATGAATACACACTAATATATCAACCTATCCTACAGCTATTTCATTTCTGTTTGTTTAATTCCATAAAAGATGTCTAGCTTTGTTTCAAAATAATGTGACTACATGTGAATGGAGAGATTACAATTAACAATAGATATATAGTAGAAACAATCTTATACTACATTGAATTTTAAAAGCTACAGGCAGATTCTAAACTTCTTGGTTTTTCATGTTTCTGCCCTAAATCATACTACCCAATATTGGCTATTTTTTATATTGCTAATTGCCTGACTCAAACTTTTGGAGGTCCTATGGAGTAACTTCAAAAACACATCAATAAATTGTGCACATTGCTATTTTGCATAATTTTCAACATTTTATTACTAAATCTTCATCATAAACATTTCAGTTAATCTTCTGAGCTTTCCTAATCTTTGAACATATGCACAAGTGTTATTAAATAATAATAAAATATTCAATAATAAATAAATAATAATAAATAAAATAATAAATATTCAAAATAGTTATAATAAAATAATAAATAATAATAAAATAATAATAAAATAAAATAATAATAACAAAATAAAATAGTCAAAATTTAAATCTGAAGTTTGTAAAATGCTCATTATTCTTTTTCCCTTTTAGCTATTACTGTGAGAAAATTAGATAATTAACAATTTTTATCTCAGGAGTGCTGGATCTTCAAACATACAGGATGTAGGGGAATTCTCTAGATGGGTGTACATTTAGAACACGGGGTAATTTTCCTCCTGCCAGTAACATTAGCGCATAAATAGTGACAACGGGAAAACAGTTTTAACAGCATAACATTTTAGTATGCTTAAAAAAACTTTTTGCATCACAAAGTGATGCAAGTGGCAAACATTGATTGGGAAACTTTGTTGAAAAAGTAATTAAGATACCTAATTGATACTGGAACAACAACAACAACAAAATGTAAAGTGCCTTTCACGTCAGGAGGACGTCCCAAAGCGCTGGACAGACAGAGTTTCGGATCCAAGCTGGGGGTTGGGGAAGGTGGAGGGTGGGGGGGAAGCAGAGAGATCGAAAGCACTGTCGAAGAAGAGGGTCTTGAGATGGATCTTGAAGGTGGCAAGAAAGGAGGCAAGGCGGAGGGACTGCGGGATGGAGTTCCAGAGGGTGGGGGCAAAGTGGTGGAAGATCCCCCCGCCAATAGTGGGGCAAAGTGGCAAAAGATCCCTCCGCCAATAGTGGAGCGAGTGAGGCGGAGGACATGAAGCAGGCCGGAGCCCGCTGAGCAAAGGGAGCGAACAGGATGGTAGGGGTTTAGGAGGTCACAGAGTTAGGGCAGAGCAAGACCATGGAGGGCTTTGAAGGTGAGGACCAGGATCTTGAACTGTATCCTCTGTGTGATGGGAAGCCAGTGGAGTTGGCCAAGGATACGGGTGATAGGGTCATGGAGCCTGGTATGGGAGAGGACATGGGCTGCAGAGTTCTGGATGATCTGCAGCCTGTGGAGGGAGGCGTTGGGGAGGCTGACAAGCAATAAGTTTGCATCGTCAAGCCTCAATGTAATGAAAGCATGTATGAGGGTTTTGGTGGCCTACGGTGTGAGGCAGTGGCAGAGCCGAGCAACGTTGCAGAGGTGGGGGAAGGCAGAGTGGATCATGGCACGGATGTGGATGTGAAAGGATAGTTGAGGGTCAAACAAGACTGCAAGGTTCCGGACTGGCTTAGCAAGGTGGAGTGCACAACCATGGATGGTGATGCTGTCAGCGCCTGAAATGACAATTGATCTTGGAAATCTACACTTTCAATAAGGT